AAAGCACGTAGAACTTTTTCTTTGTCACATACAAAATCCAAAGAACCTTTTTAATTGGATGCTCAAACAAGATGTAGATGAGATGCATATTTGGGCTTCAAAACAAAATTTGTAGCTTGATATTTTAAGATGTAACTAAATATTATTTTTAAAAATGATATAAAGAATGTTTTTTGGTAATTAAGATGGAACTTAAGCTAAATAAGAAGATTTATAGGCCAGTGTATGGATAGAATTTAATTCTGTGTTGACTTTTCTCTTCAACATTTGGATAGATAGGTTCTTTTCCCTCTTCCTGACCAGCCCCCTTTCCTCCTCTCCTCCTCCTCCTTCTCTCTTCTGTCTCTCTCCTCATTTCTCCTCTCTCCTTCTTTCCATCTCCTCTAACAAACCCATAGCAGAGTCCCTCTGTTCTTCCACCCTGAGGCTGACCAGTGTGTCAGAGCTAACCAGGGAGAGGAACAGAGAGAGAAAGACAGAGATAGCAGGAGAGAGGCAAGCAGAGTGAAAGGAAGAGAGAGAGAGAGTTTTCAGTCGGGCCTTTTTCAGGGGCAACCAAAAAAAGGAAGATGAGACAGATGTACAGAGTCCTTTTCATCTAGTGGAAAAAGAAAGCGGGAGAGGCCAGACTTTTCATGCCTCTCACATTTTTCTATCTTTTTATATCGTGACCCATCACTCTTTCCTTCTTTAGACAGCACTGGAGACATAATGTTGCCTGAATGTCAGGCTGCCCTCCTTCCTCGCTCTACCCCAGTCACTCTGCAGAATTTCAAAACGTAGTTTGTACTACAGTATATCCCTCACACTGGTTTCTTTTCACTCCCGTCAGTGTCCTACTAACCTTGGCGTCACAAGTATGCCAGTTCTGCCTTTACTTTAGCAACATTGTTACAGAGTTGATGTTTGGGAGATACATGCAAAAGTTACAAATACAAATCTGTGACCTTTGTGGCGAGACTGACCTCTTAAAACTCAGTGGGACTGGTCCAATCCTGACTCTTGGATATGCCTTTTCAGTCTTTTTCTTAGTCTTAGTCCCCACTTGGGCAAGAAAGTTGAGAGGTCACAGGAAGTTCACCAGTTGAGAAAATACAAGTTTTAGTTTACTGCTGAAAGAAGGATGGTTCACGTACAAGTCTACCTGAACATGATGCAAACATACCAATTTGGTCCTTGCAACACTGTAGTAAATTTCATCTTTCTTTCTTTGGACTTTGTCCCTCGTCAGTTACAATAGTTGGAAACGATTGCTCTCGTTGATGTAGGAGTTTGTCTTTAGAAGACCCATCTGCTTGTCCATGAATTTATTGCCCTTTTTTTACAAAGCAGTTTACCAATGATCAAAACAGATTTGGCATTACATGACTGAAAGGTTATTTATAGGAAGCAACTGAACTTTATTTGCACTGTGTGAAATTCAAGAAGAAGAGAAATAAACTGAGTGAAAAATGCATTTTATCTCCTGTCCAATCATGAGTAAATCTGCAGTGAGCAGTATAACAGTATAGTACCTTGCACCTTTGCTAGCAGACAGCTTAATTTCTTATATTGTATGAATTTTGAGGGCGTTGCACTGCATAATTTTCACTCTCTAATGCTTTGAAAATGGCTAAAAGTAAGTACAGAGAGTAAATGTGGAGGGATTTCTGAGGTTTACATGTTGAGCAGTGACAACAGCAGAAACCTTTAACCTTTCAGCCTTGACACAGGAAGTTTGTGTATCCCTGCAATGTTGTTGTGTCCTAAAGTCACAAAAAACAAAGTGCACTCTTTCAAGCGTTAAACTATAGAAAAGCCTCCGAATCATCAACACACCAGAGATTTTCCAGCAGTAATGATCCACTTGCTAGATCTAGTGCAGGCCTACACTTCAGATTATGTGTAGGAACACAGCTGAGGTGTTTTTGTGAAGATGTGATTGTGTGAAGTAACTTAGTGAATCTATTGAGTGTGCTTACTATTGTCACCGGTAGCCGTGTGATCCATCATCCACGCTGGGTTTCACAGGTGACCTTTTGTGGGAGAGGGGTCCTTTGTTTAGACTCTTGTGTCTCTTTGTCCAAATAAAGCAGTGTTTTTTCTGCCCACATCTCTCTATCAGTAAACCAGAATCTTTAGTAAACAAAGTGCATTCTCTTTTTCAGCTCGGTGAGATCTGTGTTAGTGTGCCGATATTGATTCAGTCAATATCTATGGGCTCCATGTCTTACTTTGTGTGCTGCGTCGTACAGTGTGTGTGCGACGGCTACCTGAATGCCTGCGTATTTGTGCCATATCTGCTTGAGACTGTGTTTACTGTGCATGCACAATCCCTTACAATCTGTGAGTGTCTGTATCTGACAGTCTGTGCATGCATGTGTGTGTTCGAGTGTGTGCGTATGAGGAGCAGTATTCCCTGGGCTGCTAGTTATAATGTTTCTGGGGGTGATGGGGGGAACTTGAAAGCCCTGTGCTGCCCAAATCAAAACTAACAAGGAAATGATGGGGGCTCCTTTATCTCCTCTCTGGCCTGGGGGGCCGAGGGGGGGGCGAGAATGGGAGACTGGGCAGGGAGGGAAAGAAGAGGAGGTGGGAGGGAGGGAGAGAGAGAGAAAGGGAGAGAGTGAGGGGAGGAGGAGGAGGAGGAGGAGGGGGGTAGCCTAGCTTCCTCTTTGATTTGTAAAAAATGCATTACCTCCGAAATCAAACGGAAAATTACTGCGCCGAAGCAAAACACACAGAGCAGGAGAGAGGGAGAAGGGTGGAGTGGAAGGGAGGGCGGGGGAGAAGACAGTGGGTAGGTGTGTGAATAGAAAGGAGGTGGGAAAGAGGAAAGGAGGAGTCACCTGTATAGATATGCTGTTGGATATGAAAAGGGAAGGAAGAGTATGGATTTGAGGTAATGCGTAGGTGGTATGAGAGGAAGTTGGAAAGACTGTGAAAGGCAGGAGCTCACATATATGTTTCCCGCAGAGGAGATGAGCTTATACATGCCGTGGACCATGAGAATACGGCAAATGAAAGAGATGATGCAGTATTGATGACCTGTAGCCCACGGGGAAGAGGAAAGTTATGGATTGCTACCTCCAACACAACGTATATCTCATTTTGTAAAGACCAATCTTCGCAACGGCCTTCCTGTCAGATGAGGTCAACATTTTCATGGAAAGATGACAGTTTCAAATGTTTTCAAAAATCCCCAAACACGTGAACAGTGGGGTGTATTTTGATATCCTACTGGTAAACGGTCTAATCAAAATATTTGATCCTTTTCTAAAAATGAGTCGCGCGGGATGAGTGCAGACAGAGCCTCCAGATAGTTTAATGACCAAAAAAAAAGAGAGAAAAGGAACAATGAGAGTAAAAATAATAATGATTATTATAATAAATAGAATTAATGTCAGCTCTGCACTCATAGACAGAGAGAGCAGACTGAAAACAAGGAAGATGAAGAGCGGGAGGGGAGGGGAGAGAGGAGACAGCGAGCGGGGCCACAATCCAAAGGCTTGAAGCGGGGTGAGAGCGAACGTGAGACAGAAAGAGTCAGAGAGTGAGAAATGCCTGGAGTTAGCAATAATAATTTATACAAACACACCTTAATAATTCACGTTCCATTTCAATGCTGGAGGGAAAATCCAAAATTCACAGAGCATAATTAAATAGAGGCAGAGAGTGAAGGGAGAGACAGAGAGGCCAGCATTAAAGATACCAGTGTAGCAGCAGGCTATCTCTTCCATCTGAGCTTTGTAAAACAACCCTGATGAAACTGTGATATCCAAACTAGATTCTATCTCACAGTTCCCCTCTTCATCACAGAAACACCAAGATCTCCTCATCTTCTCGCGTCAGCAGATGTCTATATGAATATATTTAGGAGGCCTTATGATCATAAGCTCTTGTATTATAAAAAGGCCTACCCTACCTCACTGACACGTGCGCGTATCATTCAACATTCAATGCAGAGCATGAAGCGATGTGATGGCATGAAAAAATAAAAGTTTGTTGTTGTTTTTTTGTAAATCTTCAGATTTCAAAATGCACAGAAGTAAAAACAAAATCAGGTTTTTAAATAGTTTGGACAGTTTATTTTCTTGTGATGTTAAACATGGACGTGTTCACTGGACTCGCTGCATCATTTCTGACTTTTATTCCAACAATTTTGTGTGTTTTAAAAAAATGTATAGTTTTATATAACCATATACTATAATTATAGGGGGTATAATTTAATATTACAAGTACAGATGTGAAGTGTTTTCTCGCTTTTGCTTGTTCACACTCAGCTATACAGTGACCACTAAACAGTACATAAGACAATTAAAATAGCTCTAACTCAATCAACTAATAAAACGACACTCTTGTATGTTCAAATCTTTATGCAATTTTGCACTATTTGTAGTACTTACCTGACTTACCTAAGATACCTAAGGTGATATGAAAGACGTTTTACCAAAAACTATAGCCCTTTAAATCCTTTTGAAACTTTCCTCATCTGGCAGACAATTAAACCTAACCTTTAATAGCCCTGAACATAACTTTTTACATGAGATTTTTTTGATACTTTTAAAACTTCACTAAGAAATAACCAAGTCCTATTATATATTTAAAAACCCAATTTTTAATGTATAATGTGGCTCAGTTTTCAAGTTGGTTTTCAAAAGTCTATTTAATTCCTCCTGTTCATAAATGCACTATAGGGATGTCCACCACATTGCATCAGACACAGCCTCAGGTGGCCACATCCATCAAACACCTGATCTCTACCAAAGACATATGAAACATAACCTTGCTATATTTCACATCGATTTAAAGTATCATTTTGAACTCATGTTGCGCCTTTAGACCCTTATGCAATACCTTCAGTTTCAACAAAATGTACTCTCTTCTACTCTGACTTGGTGTAATAAATGCAATAAACATGCTGGGTAGTTGAAAGTGGCTTAAGCAAATACATCTCTGCAAAATTCTTTGTTTTTCATTTGTAAAAGTTAACGCCTTCTCTCTCTTTTGTTTTGTTCCAGGTTTTGTGGAGGCATGGACTGTAACTGCGTCAGTGATCTGCTGCTCCCCCCGGTGCCCGCCCTCTGGACGCCAGGTCGGTACTCTCATCAAAGTTAGTGACATGAAGGCAGGAGACTATTACATCCTTGCTTTTCTGCATCAAATCTGCTTAAAGTTCTCATTTGTAACATTTAAAATCTTTCAACTTATCTTTAAATCTAGTCCTAAGCCACATGTGTAAATTGGGTGAACCCAAACAGCCAAAACAAGCAAATACTTAAGAAGCAGCTACTTCATTATTAAAATTGCATGTTGAAATTCATCCCCAATATTCATCTATTTAAAAAGATTAACCATACACATTCATGTTTGCCAAACAAGTTCAGACTCTGGTAGTAATTGGTTCAATGTGTAATGTATTTACAAGGCTAGTTAGTGCCAGATTCACTTTGGCCTGAGTCAAAAAGCTACTTAACTTCATCTCTGATGGTCATAGAGTTGGCTTTTAAAATTCAGACCTGAGCAGCATCAGTCAGATCTCTCCCAGTGAGCTGTCATCATCCCACTGACCAATCTGTTGAGGCTAGAGGGCATTAGCTCAGACTAACATTGCTCAAGGCACGTGCTGTGATATTAAACACATCATCCCTCACCTCCATCGCTCATCAGTCATTCAGACAGTGAAACCCCCCCCCGACACACACACACACACACACACACATGCACACACTCCCTGTGAGCAACTGGACAGACAACAGGCATGAACCTCACCCTGCTTCTTCCTCCTCCCCTTTGCCCAGGGATCGCCTTCCCAGAGTGGGCCTACAAGCCCGAGTCGAGCCCCGGCTCCAGACAGATCCAGCTGTGGCACTTCATCCTAGAGCTCCTGCAGAAGGAAGAGTACCAAGGGGTGATAGCCTGGCAGGGAGACTACGGGGAGTTTGTCATCAAGGACCCAGACGAGGTGGCCCGACTGTGGGGGATAAGGAAATGCAAACCTCACATGAACTATGACAAACTGAGCAGGGCTCTGAGGTATGTGTTCATACGAGATGTGTTCAATGTCAGGCAACCGCACTGTTTGCATCAGATAAATCAGGCTATAACCCAGCGGTTTCCATAAATTGTTTACTCTTGTTGGATTTAATCCCCACTTAACATCTCTCTTTTCCATGTTGGCAAAAATGGAAAGATAAAGGTGGGATTTTTCCTGGGGAACGTCAATACCCTCAATTTCTCCTTATCTCTGGACATCCTAATGGAAAGTTCACCATTGAGCTGCCAAATAAAAAATTCAATAGGGATTTTAAAATTAAGCCCCAGTGTGAAATTGGACTTTTTCAGAACAGCAAAACTACTCGACACTGAACTTGCTGAAGGTGATTAAAACAATGCCACACTCCATACCTTCAGCAGTTTACACCCCAAGCCAGTCACACACAATCTTCTTATGCAAATACCCACTACCCAACTTGTTCCCCTATCCCCACCCCCTCCCTCTGCTTTCCTTCGGCCTCTCGTTAATGGGGACTGTCGTCAGAGTTTAATTGTTATGAATTGGCTGGGGCCACAATTAGCCTTCTTAATTAGCCTCACTTAATTGCTCAATTAAGGGCCATGGCACAATTGCCACGCAAAGCAAAACATGTACACATCATTGCACTGGGCTCAGCCAGTGTGGATACATGCAGATATGTACACGCTGCTGTGTTTGTTGATATAGTGTGCCTGCATAATGAGCTCACCACTATTTAATGCTGAGGTTGTCTCATGAATTCTGTGTTTAGCACGCTCACTGTGGCTGCACTCACACAAAGGAGTCCAAAAAGTCCACAAGGAAACCAGATTTAAACTTGTATTTCACAATAAGACATCTGCAGGGGTTTTTAATTTGTCGCATCCCGCTTCGCCCCCACCCCCTACGCTCCTCCACCTGAGCACTCAGCTTTTACCTGGGCCAGATGGCTCCATGTTTTTCCTTTGCTGCTGATCAACGTGGCATCCTGGCAGATTGTACATTGTGACACCTCTGTGGGTGGCAAAGGAAACTGGTACGATGACGACCTGACATGCCCAGCGGGAGACACTGGGGGTCGTTACCATGGAGACCTCTCTTGCTGTCCCACCTCTTTGTGAATGTGCTTTGCTATTGGAAACGGTGATGTTTTTTGGTGTCATGTCAAATGGTGTCATTCCGACAAATTTCTAATTTTCTGGAAACAAAAAAGTCTCGAGCTCACCTGATAGTGTAACATGATGCTCACATTATTTCTGGAATTGATAAATAGTCCTGTGCATAATGAAAGAACATTTACTTCTTGTGTAGTATTTCTGTGTGAGAGGTTCAAACGAATTTAGATTTTGGGGGGTTTTGAGGCGGGGGGTGGGGGGGTTGATAATTGCTGAATATAAAATTCACTTTACAAAACCATATTGTATTGAATAGAGGCAGCCAGACATGAATTGATTTGAGAAAGGAGGAGATGAATAAAAACACTGGGAAATCAGCACAGCTCTTGCCTCACAGCACTGAAGTTGTTTATACTTTACTTATAGTGATGAAACACAAAACCTTGATGTGTATTATATTAATCCTTCCCACCTCTTTTCCTTTTTCTCTTCCTTTTTCATTTATCACTTCACTCCATCCCTCCATCAATATTCTCTCCCGCTCCTTTGCAGGTATTACTACAACAAGCGTATTTTGCACAAAACCAAAGGGAAGCGTTTCACCTACAAGTTTAACTTCAGTAAGGTTGTGCTGGTGAACTACCCCATTCTGGACATGGCCAGCTCGCCCTTCTTCCTTGCCCAGAACCATTTCAACGGGGGCTCCACCACACCAGACTGCAGCCCAGAGGTACACAGGGTAGGATGGAGGGTTTGTGAGAGGGGGTGGATGGGTAAAAGGATATATGCTGTATGCAAGTATTAGATTTAGTAGCATATAAATACAAAATTGTGTGAAAAATGTGAGAAATCATACCTATGTATGTTCAAATTGTGTCTCTATAGCAGGTAATAAAAAGAACTAGCATTTTAAAACAGAGGGAATTTTAAAAAAAAAAAGCCAAATCTTAAACAAAGAAAAATGATGAAATATAGCAGGACACCGCACTCTGCTTCCTTAAATTTGTATCAACAAAAATTTAATTCAGGTAACTGAAAACCATTCAACTCGAGCTGTTATATTTCTCAGGCACCTGCTGTCCATTCCCCCTTTTTTGCAAAAGAATGGTGGTATTCATCGTAGCTATCTTTTATTCACTTTGTCAAATGGGGGTCATAATAGACTACAGTTTACTTATTATTTGCCCTAAGAGACTGTAAAATTTTTACAGAGATAAAATGTGTCAGAACACAAAAAAAGATGGAGGCGTGAACAAAAATGTCCTAATTTGGTTTAAAAAAAAAAATGTTATGACTTTACTTGTGTTTATAAGATATTTAGAGATTTTTCTTTCTTTCTTTCTTTTTAATGGAAAAAAAAATCAATTTCTGCGTTTCAGATTCTACACTAAATTATAGATGTGGCTGCACAAATTGATGAAGAAGGCTATTTTTTTGACTTGGGTATAAGTGCTGGTGTGCAGATAATTTTATTTTAGATGACTAATGTCCTAGAAAGTACAAGTAACTTGAAAGTACAGTAAGAGAGAATCATTCATCAATTGTCTGTGCCGTCCTTAAGATGGGGATAAGGAGACGCGAGCTCTGAAGGAGACCGTGGAGGGGGGACGGTTTTAACTTGCCCTTAAAACAAAAGAAGACGTTATCCCCTCTTTCTCTCATCCCTGTCTCCTATGGCGTATCCATCTGTCATCGATTGAAAATGAAAGAAATAGAAAGCAAAGGGGTCGCGTCAGATCAGATCAATGGCGGGTCATTAATGCGGTTTGTTAAGCAACGCAGATCTCGCAGCTTGGGAGTACAGTCTCGCCTTTCAAACTTGGGGCTGCAGGGTGACAGATACTACTGATCCGCAATCACGCTAGGGGGAAAAAGAAATCCCCCCGTGTCCCCTTGATTCCTAAGATTAAACTGTTCCACTTATTTTACCTCTTCTTTGCAAATTTTAGACAGAAAAAAATCTACGCACTCACTGACACGCACACAGCTGCCCTACTTCTAAATGGATGTCATTCTCTCACATCTCACTGCTATTCGTCCTGTGTCCCTTTACACAAGCTGGCCCACAATCCCGCTTTCTTCTTTTCATTTATCCTTTGTGCCCACAATCTTAATCATTGGTCTCCATTTGACTCTGTACTTTTCCTCCCTTTGAGTCTCTGAGCCCGTGCGTCCTCCTGCCTCCCCTTTTTTTTACCCCAAGTCCCAGGGCTTCCCTTTTTATCCTGTCCTTGCTGCGACTGTGTCACTGTTTGCATCACACTCTGCAGGGTGCTGCTGTCAACATATGACTTTACCCAGCAAAGTGCAGCAGCATCATAAAGGCAGATTTGTAGGAATATGTGTGCCGTACGCAAGCTTTTTTTATTATTATTATTTCATGGTACAAACTCATCTCTAACCTCCTTTTCTACTCTTTGTTTGTGTCTCTTTCTGCCGCTCAGGCCATACAGTCCTTGTTTCCTCGTTTGCCAGACACCAGCAGAGGAACCTCCCTTTTCGATCGGGGGACCACAGCACCAGGACCTGAAGGGGACAAACTGAGACTGGACTCATTTCCTTTCCTAAGTTCAGGTGAGCAGAGAGAATGACAAAGTTGGTCAGATACGTGCCGGTCTTCCTCTATTGCATGAAGAAAAATACACATATATATATATATATATATATATATAAGTGTATGATTGGCAGTGTACAAACAAAGGGAGGAGGAGAAGGTAGCAATGAAAGGAGAGCAGAGAGAGAAATGAGGATACAGTGAGGCATAAACATTTATTGTTAAAGGAAATAAGAGAGATGGCTGTCCCATAACAGTCTACAGTGAGACTGTGCTCCAGGTCAGAAAGGCCAGGTTAGCTGGTGAATTATGCATGTCAGCTGTAGTGAGACACAAGTCGAGGGCTGGAGAAATCATCCACTTTTTCAGCGCAACTGTTCACATTTGTCCCCTTCTATCTCAGAAAGTGAGTTCAACCAAACACAGCACGGAAGTGTCGTTGTTTGCTTGACTGATGGCACGCATGCACAAATGCATTTCATTTGCAATCTCTGCACACGCATAAGAAGGTATACGAATCTGCAGAGCTCGAGAGGTAGTGTGTAAACAGACTCACTGACACACAGATGCAATTCTCATCCCAGAACTGGCACCCTCTCCCTCCTCCCTATTCTGTTTGTCCTCAGGTCCTATTCCCCCCTTCTTCCCTTCTCACCCTCCTCACCCTCCCATGTGTCCCCGCTGTCCTAATCCCTTCCCAGGCAGGAAGGCCCTAATTGAGGGTGCAGGCTTCAGTTTGTGGCCTGTGGGCGCCCATTACTGTGTTTTCATAAGCAAGTGAGGCCTGCCTGACTGATTCAATATTCATGTGTCTGCCAGCTACTCCTGGCCCAGCACGCAGAGACTTCACCACTGTCAAATTAGCCCTGCATAGTAAATAACAGACTGAAAGAGAAAAAGAGAGTGAGAACGGCTGGGAGAGAGGTGGAGGGTGCAGCAGAGAGAATCTTTGAGTCGGTTGTCATTTGGAAGGAAGTAGACTAGGTTGAGAGGCAATGCGTTTGTTTGTTCATTAAAATTGTATTCCTGCATCACCTCAAATTTGCCCCCTCGCTCTGTTATCAAGTGATGCTTACAAGAAACCGAATTCAAATACGCAACGCAATTTGCTGCACCATAAGTGTTTTTTTGCTTAATTTGAAATGATATCATGACATGTCAGAGCATTGAGGGGACAAATGTCGACATTATTTCTCAGTGAGAATTTTCAACAGTGTGACTGGTTTCACCGCAATGATGCGCAATCAAAACAGAAGCAGAGTCACTTCACATATTTCTTTTCTTTTAAATATACAAGGAAATGATAAGCCGTTTGGAAGACGGGAACTCTTCTTAATTGTTTTTCACTGCAGTGGAGAATCTTTGTGTTCACATCTGGTTTGCAGCAGTGTGAAGTGGGTGTACTACACAGTACCGGCATGCATAAATGAACCATCAGGTTTTGTGTTGAAAGCAGCCGTGCCAGAATTAGCCCCTGTGGCTCCTGATTAGAATTGCTAATACCACTGACTATAATTAGTGAACATTCTTGGATGTTGTATGTCAGGAAACCTTTGCCCCTTCTGAGAGCTAACCTCCATCTCTGGATTTTCTCTGTCCTAGGTGCACCGTGCTATTCAAAACCCCCGTCCCTGCTGGGCCCGTACCCTCGCAACCCACCCTTTGACTACCCCTGGGGCTTCAACCCCTACCTCCCAGGGGCCTTCTCTCTCAACAACTGCCCCAAACTGCCCCCTGGCTCCCTCTACCCCTCCCAGTTTTACCCCAACCCCTTGCAGAGCAGCCTTTCACAGCTGCCTCACCCCTTCTCCTCCCTGCTCCCGCCTGGAGAGGCAGGTGGGGGTGAGAGGGGAGCAGCGGGGCAAACTGGCGGGACAAATGGCACAGCGGGTGGTCAGCCGGCCAGACTCTGCCTGCCGCCATACCAGGGCAGCCTGTCGATGGGTCGGACAGACATTGGCAGCGGGCCGACACTGGGAGAAAGGGTGGAGCCCAATCCTCCGGGTCTGGGGTTGACCTTGGGCCTGGGAGCGGTCAGCTTAGGAGCTGGGACTGGGACAGACCAGCAGAGCCCCACAGAGAGAAGAGGAGGGGTGAAGCAGGACCCAGAGTCAGACTCAGACCTGGAGATAACAGATCTGAGCGACTGCAGCTCGGACAATGAAAACGAGCATGAATTTGGCATTCGGAAGGAATCCAGCCATGCGAACCGATCACAGCTTGTGTTAGATGGGAAGAAAGGAAGCGCGTTGCCTCCCATCTCCTCTCTTCCTCCACCAGCGTCCCCACATCCACTCAAGAGCCTGATGCCCATTACTCCTCCTCCCCCATCCCTGCCTAGGTCACTCTCACCTTCCATGGCTCTGCATGAAAGACACAGGGAGACAGAGACTCTCAAACTGATACACAGCTAAGACATTTTCTGATGTGTCCACCATCTTGCCAGTCTATGGTCTGATAACTCTCTTTTTCTCTCCTTCTGTTTCTCTGAGATGAATTTTCCACTTTAAATCATCAGATCTTTTCCAGCCCTTTTCCAGGAATGGCAGTTAACTTCTTTTACTTCTAAAACTGCAGTTTTCCTGTTTGCTGTGCAAGTTTTGAGCTTGCCAGGAGTCCATTACACTACTGATTCATCCATCTTAGAATATATGGGGTGTACAGTTTTTAGAGTGTCGGCTGTCTCGTCCTTTTTATTTTGATGTCTCGCACCAAATGGTTTGTAGATTTGCTTTATGCATTGCCAGCAGTAGTCTACAATTTGCTGTCTGCAGCTGAGCTACGAAAGAAGGCATCGAGGTGGGAAATTACAACACAGCAATTCCTGCCTTGACAAACATTAACAAACAACATCCCTAAACTAACAGAACAACAAATGATGCTCAGATCGATCCAATTTTACAGATTTGTCCTGTAATTCTACAGATTTAGACTATAAATAATTACTGTGGCTTTTAAGACATGGTCAAATACTGCCACCTAGTGGTCATTTCACTCAACGTCGTTTTCAAAGAACTGCAAGTGTGTGAGTGAAGCTACTGCCCTGAGTTCATTTTGCACTGTTTTTTAAAATATATATATTGTTTATTGTGGGTTAATTTAAATGTTAACAATCCATCTGTTCAATAGTGCTAACTGTGACAGTCTGTGCGTATTTACTTTGTCTTGGTGCACATTTTCTAACAGGAAAGAAAAAGAGAGCAGGAGGGAGCTGGACCAATCTAGAATTTGTATGAATATTTCTGTATATATTTTAATATGGTGTACATGACATTTAATTATAATTCACTATGATAAGATTTAGCTGTATTGTTGTGATTTTATTCAGTATTTAAACATGTTGGAAAATTATAAGCTTAGGTGTATCAAAATTGAAATTATTAATGGCAGAAGATCTGCACTCTGAAGACTCTTTTTTTAATGTTGAGGACAGAGCTCACGTTGGGATTTGTCTCTGATTTCCTCAACCCCAGTTAATTGTGCCCTTTGGTCATTTTGTTCTTGCCAGATGCCCAGTGTACAAACCCTTTGGGTTCAAAAACATGCCGGCAGACTTATTTTTCTAGTTAGCATTCGCCCAATGTTCCTGTACTGTAATTAATCTAATGTGAATAATATTGGTCTTTGCATTTTCTTCTTTAAATCCTCCCCCCAAAATCTGTTTTGATTATTTTTCAATCGATTCTTTTTGTCCATGCCAGCAGCAGAGCAATTTGTTTTGCTTGAGGACACTAAACAGTGGTGTGGGGGGGAATACTTACAAAAAAAACTGTACCTTTCCTCTCCCCAGATCTTATGACCAACATCCTTTCTACAGCCCTGTTTCTCAGCGTGGAGTGAACAGTGAATCATATTGTACAGTTTCATAGCCTTTATGCCGATGGTTTGTCAAACAGTGGCAGTATACCGATTATTTGTGAAAGCTCTATTGTAAAGTTAATGTAAAACTCTATGTTTGTTGAGTTGCTGCGGGAAAGGCCTCCAGTCACCTCCACAGGAAGAACACTAACAGCTGTAAATACTATTTCCTCGTGTGTGTGTGTGTATGTGTGTACACATCCAGAAATGACAGTGCAGTGGTTTTACCTGTCATCTTTCTTTGTTTTACTGTAAAGAGGAAAAATGGAAAGTGCAAAAAGAAGAAAAAGAGTAATATCTTCAAAAGCAATAAATATTATTCTGAATAGCGGACTGTTGACTGTGTTGTTGAAAAGATTTAAAAAATACGGGTGCTTCATACATCACAATTCTGACACAATCTGTAGAATTCATGTAGTCAGTGAAAAGAAACATTATATTATATTATATTATATTATATTATATTATATTATATTGACACAAATAATGATTTGATTTTTTTATGCATTGGTGAAAAGTCTGTGAAAAGTGTCTCTTAAACTGAAAAAGCACAGTAATTGCACACCATGCCAATTTAATTTGAACTTTTCCTATAAATAATTAAATCTTGTTTACATTTAGAGATCTCTGCCCAAACTTTATGTTACTTTCTGTTGAGTTTAGCTAATTGTTTACCTGCTTTTCTTTTAGATTGGCTTTTACAAGCTGGCAAGATGCAGACAAATGAGACATTACAATTACACATGCAGAAGTTGTTATCACCATTTTGATGTATATTTTAATGTTTTAAGATGATTGTTAGGATGTTTTATATATGCCACTTAATGATAGGAAACATATTCTATTCAGGGAATGTAAAAATGTAAAACTGTTTGTTTGCCATCTACAAAAAAAAAAGGGGGGGGGGGGGGGGATTTATAAAGCATTGCGTAATAGCACAAATCATACTGAGGCACTTTCAATGAACCTCATAGTATTACAGAGAGGAATTTATTACTCGCACTTAAGCTCAGTCAGCATGTGAAAAATATTTTAAAGAAAAAACACCTCACTATCAAACAATAAACGTCACTGTGCTTGTGATGATCACTGGTACTCACTAGACAAAACATTTGTAATTGTCATTGTAACTAAATTGTAACTAAATTTGTTTGACAAATACACAAGGAGTGGGGCTGCAGAAATAGAGGGTGAGTCTTTTAGAAAGGCGTGCAACAGAAAATAGTAACATCATCATTAAAGTTCAGATCATTTAATGTATATGTGGCATCCACGTCATGTGTACATCATTTGTCACCAAGCGCTTAGGCCTCACTACTTTTCTACGTTAATCCAGAGAGAGACTAAACTAATTTTCACAGAAGTTTGTCAACCTGGAAAAAGATTTAAAGGTCAAAGAGAATTTATAAGCTGACACAGTACAGGTAAAGACATGTATTATTAATTTGGCGGTCAATTTGGAGACACTATTTGCATCTACAATGTGTTCTTTCAAACTAGTGACACAAAAAATTCCCAAATACACATTTAAGGGTTTATTCTGCTACAATTTTTTTTATTTATGTAACACAGTGCATATTAATCAGACATTATATTTGTATAAGTAAACACTTTATTCATGTTACAAGAAACAGTTGCCTTAATGTAAGAAAAAAACAAATCTTCTAAATCTTTATTGTTAGATATATTTGGAACGTTTACCCTTTTTACCTCAGGGTCAAAAAATCTCAATGTAGAGCAAAATAAATACTTAAATATTCATTCATTCAGTCAGTCATTATATATATATATATATATATATATATATATGTCGTTAGGCGTAGATTTGTTGCCTGGTCGTTATCATATTTCTCCACAGTGTGGCGCCAGAAGGCTGGAAAATAAGTGAAGCATCGAGAAAACCAGGGAGGGAAGTTTTTTGAGAGTTCAAGTCTGTAAAATATTAATAATTCATATTAATACTTAATTTCCCGCAGACATAGTTCCTTCAGACATTTCTGATTTCTTAGCTTCGCAGTAGTGGAGATAATTTTTTTCTAAGCAGATACAGAGATTGACACCATCCTACATATCAATAATTTATGCTTTACACTGTCGGTCTTTGTTCAGAACATAATACACATTTTTAGAAAGAAAAAACTGTTTTGTTTTTGCTGCAACATTAATTATAAAAGAAAACTGAAGACGAACGGGTTTAACAGGTTTCATGTAAGTAGCGGACTGGCTAAGTAAACAATAGACAGAGGAAGGGTTTCATTTTGTATTGTGTTAATAACACTTTTTGGGTATCTCGTCTAGATATTTCTAAATGATAGTAAGCGAATTCGCCCATGTTTACAAAAATATAAAGGGTCCATAAACACCGTGCTAATAAAATTCCCTTGTGTTGCAAAGAGAAGGCTCTCAATGGGGACAGGTTACTGTGTAACACAGTGCGGAAACAAGCCGTTTGTAGGGGTTACTGTTACGTTTTTATATAACATTCAAACCTTAAAACACACATAAATTGACAAAAAGTTATAATATTGCCACTTTTATTTATTGCGTACTCGATAATTTTGAAGCGGTACACTGTAACTTCCCCCCCTCGCGGTTAATCACTCAGGTTTTTTGTATGTGTACTTCCGCGTACAATGTTATTTTTTTCTTCCCACTGACACACGGCAACTTCGAACAGGAAACCTCTTAGACGTCTCGCCTGTCGTTTTCTCTGTATTTACGGGTAAGTACACCATTCATAATGTTCACATACTTGTGAACATTATCACGCTTTTGGACTTTTACGGGTTTCAGTGCTATAGTTTAAGTGGTTTTTGGCTATTTGTTGGCGCTGGCTTCCCCCCCATACAGCCAGAGCGGCAGACGATAGCGTCCGCATACAGGAATGCTGTGCTCGACTCACTGCACGACATCTCGTCCTCTGCGATCAAAGCCCAGCTGCAGACGGTTTTATTCAGCATTTTGGCCATTTTCAGTAGCACTGGGATAGCCACAGGTTTATTTTGAGAACTTGTTTAACAAAGGCATGGGAGTAACAGGGGAAAGAAAAAAGAAAAGAAAAAAACTTAAGGTAGCAAACTTGTCTTTGTGTATTTTTTGGCAAAGCCATCGAAACTGTCCTCAGTTTCGGTTTAGCCCAAACTAAAAATCACTTTAATATTCTCAAAGGGAGTTATGTTTTGTATTGAGCTAGTCAGTGGGAAGTTTATAGCTTGTGACCTTGAGAATTTTATGTATTTTTTTTTCTTATCTTCTTTGAAATAGTATCTTTATGAAATGTATCATATGGGTAATCTGGTTATTACAGCTATACAGTGTGAACCTGTGTGTATTTTACCTCATAAATGGTTTTATTATATCCAGCCTGTGATGCAAGGATACACACACATACAAAAAAGACTCTCAGCACATTACAGAGGCTTAGGAAACCACTACCAGATCAATCCCTCTGTTTTCCTCTAATTTATTTGTCGACACTTTTTTCCCACAGCATGAAAAGTAGCATCTGTCTTATCCCTCCCAGTTTTTCCCCCTCCCCCTTTGCTTCCTGTTTCTATATAACTCACTTATCAGATCGGCCTATAGACTGGGGGTCTCAATGCAGACAAAGTTCAATAATTAGTGTCTGTATGTAATTGATTGCCAGTGGTGATGTTTTTTCTCTCACCAAGTGCATTGCCTGTGCAAAACAGGCAACAGTTTCCTGTGCTCACAGGAAACTATAATTACTGTACATCTAGTGGTGCATCTAGTGCAGCTTCAGTATCTCATGCTACCCTAGACAGAGGATGCTAGGGTAGTGACGGCTGTGCATGCCAGTAAGCTGTAAGTTAGTAATTAGTCCTCAAAGAAAAACTGTTGCTTTTAAACAAGTTGTCAGGGCAGTTTGTTATCCAGGCTTTTTTTTTTAAGTCACCAATCATAAGCTCAGTCAAAGCCATCTTAGAATCACCCTAAATTTTGATGATGCTTATTGCCCATTATTTTACTCTGCCTGTGTGGTAAGGGCGTTGGAGCTGGTGGTTTTAGAGACTGTGACTTGTTCCCAGTCAGCCGCTGCACCCCAGAGGCCCCATGTGAAGCAGGCTCTGCCACTTCCTGTTACGCTCTGTTAGACTAGAGGTGCACTGCACTTGTCATCTCTTTCTCTCACTACATTTTACAAGTGCAGGCTTGTCTGGAGCCCAAAGGCTACCTTCTCTTCCTTTTAAAGGAGTGTTGGCTATTTAATCTGAGTTGCTGCGCTGCTCTCTCCCTCTCTTTCTTCCACTCTCTATTGTTTTAGACCTACATAAACTCAGCCACATCCCCTCTTTCTTAGTGAGGAGGAAGATAAACTCAGGATATCGCTACAGTGAGCCATTTTCAGTTGTTGTTTAGCCTATGTGAGTGATACCAAACAACTGGAATGACGGGTAATGCACTTTCAGTGGAACAGCCAGCAGCTGTCCTAAGGGCTTGGTGGTGTATTGCTAGCACAATAATAATTTACTGTACTTGGGTTCTGACTTCAAAGGGAGCACAGGTATTCTTCTCTGGCTGAAGATAGTCTGACAAACAGTCAGCAGATAATGAGAGATGGAGTGGACTCGCTGCTATTCTCTCTGTGAGTCAGAAATCTCCTGATTCCTCCTGAATGAGCTCACTAGGTGAGGTGGGGTGAAGTTCCAAACAACTATGTGAGATGGTGAACAGGAAGGTGCTCATGCTCTTCCACGTGTGTGACGTGAGTTTTTGTGAAACCACAACATATGACCTCTGATCAAGGCGCAACACTATTGTGTCATTGTAACTACTTCTGCAGTGGTTTGCATGGATCTCTCACAGATTTGTTGGCTGCATAGATATAATGTTGTAGTTTCTTTGCATAGTTTTGTTGTTGTTGTTGTTGTTGTTTTTGCACGGTTGTGAAAATGTACCTGTACCTTTTTGTTGCATTTGCATAAAGAGAAAAAGGAGGCATTTTGCAACATCATATTTTTATTCTTGGACTTTGCTTGTGTAGCTTTGCGTGATTCACAGTTCAGACTAAAGTCGTGTCGTCTTGTACTGGGCTTCAGTGCAGTCTCTCTCTCTACATCCACCCCTGAGCAACACATTTCAGGACCTATCTATTTCTGACTGTCTTCTGATTGGCAGTCTCTTGCAAACAAATGATTTGAACAGTAGGTGGGTTGGGCTGCAGTGCTTACAGGTTGACCATATTATTAGGGGTTATCAGTGCTCGCTGAAAGGAAATGTTTAGACCAGTCTCACATTGTGAGCTTTTGCCTCCGCTGAATTATTTGCATATATGCTCATGATTAATATGAGCATCCATCATTGTAATGGCGTATATGTGTCAGAAAATAAGAAAGAGCGTAATAGAGAGCGAGCAGTATGTTTCTATGAGTATTTATGGTGCCTATGTGGCCTACATGTGGGAGTTCCCCTTTAATTGAGTAATACATTATTCATGTGTCATTATGGCTTTCCAGCATAGACCAGAATGCATCTGTTCTGGGCTTCTTATGTGTTTTTACTTGGCTTGTCTGGTTTTTTTTCACCTGTTAAGTTCCTTCTTCCCTCTGCTGTCATTTATGTTCTGCTCACACTGCATGTGCTCGAAGTGGATTTGCAACTTATGAGTCATATGTGTGCAGCAGTGATGTCCCGCCGCAAATGAAGCACCCCTTTTGATTTCAAAATGAATGCAGCACGAATCCTTATGAGCTTTCTGACTGATGATAGTTTTTTGTGCAAATTCAGCCTTGTCTCCAGGAGCTTAAGCGTCTCGTATGAAAAAGGGAGAAAATGGAAAGACTTGCATCTATCTGTCCAAATGTGAGTCAGACAGGCTGGCTGGAAGGCCGATGTGACAGGGGGTGAGGGAGTGAAGAAGCAGAGAATGAGCTCTTTCATTTGAGGGTCAGAGTGGAAAAAGCGAGACCAGACTCCACTCTTATGTTTACTCTCGAGGAGTGAAAGATGGTGGGGGCTTGGTGGGGTGAAAGGTCCTCCAGTCAAGTGTGTGGAGACAGTGTGTTGACTGTGTGTTAGCACACAGCTCTTTACAAACAATCACTCATCCTGTGTTATACAATAAGTCATCATTTCCATTGTCATTTTAAATAATGGCAACTTCTATATTTATATTTTGATTACACTGTTCCACTGCTAGTCTACCCTACATAATGTATTACTTTTAACTGTGCTGTTTGGTGCACATTTAGCCTTACAGCTTCATACATGTTCAAGGGAAAAATTAAAAAGGGAAAAAGTGAGAAACCCGAGACAAAGCAAGAGGAGAGGATGAGAGATTCGTCTTTTATGCTGCCTAGGTAGTTGGATAGTTTTCATACACAGAAATGTGGCTCTGAACTTGAAGCATTCCTTGTGAAGTACCGGTACACTGGAAGATTTTTATTGTGACATACCGAAAATAATTCAGATACCTCTCCTAATACATGGAGCTTATTCTTAGAGCTTTATCTATCGACCTTAAAAATAGGCCCCTGATAAAAGTAGTAGCATTGCAACTAAGTGTTCCTATTATTAGGAGTGTTATAGTATAGCATTGTTTATGTTAATTGGAAATATTTAAAAAATGAAATATTAATTTGTTGTTTTGTTAATGACAGAGCCCAACTGATACAGGAGACTGACACCGATATTTAGAGATTTAAAGAATGAGATATTCATTTATATCAGCCAATGTTTTTTTTCTTTTCTTTCATACACATGAAAGAAACATTTATTTATTCCTTTACACTCTTTTCAACTCTGCTGGGATCAGGTTGTTGTTGTGTTTGTGGTGTTCCAAACACTTGTGTTTCCATCAGCAAAGTTGCCCTTTTGAGGACAAACTATGCAACATCACCTCTTATAACATTACTGAAGGGTGTTTCTTCCATCTCTTATTTACTTTTTAAATTTGAATATATGAGGGTTTTAACATCCACATACCTGTGTTGATTTCATTGACCAATAGTTTTTGTCATTTTTTTCCTGACAATGCAAGACAAGACGATAGCTAAATAAAAACTAATGCACAAAGGCAAAAATTATGATGAAATGTGTCGACACTTTCCTCAACTAATAAAAATGCAACTAAACTAATTTAGCTGTATAGAAAGGCGGGACAAGTTTGAAAGTGATCCAATCAGAAGTAATATCTTTGTGCAGTAAAGTTAGATGCACACATCTGATATGCCGCCAACAAACAAGGTGGCGGTGGGGGCGGAGCTGGTGGTTTCTCAAGAAAACACAGCAAAATGTCAGCGCTTGGGAGGAAGAGCAGAAATTTCACAGCTGATGTGAAGGGAAAGATGATGCTTTGTAAACTGAGTGGAGCCACTGTCCACTTTAGTCAAAAGGTTATGACTAAAACTAAATAAAAAAAAAAAAAAAACTGTCAAAATTAACACTGCTAGATTAGCAAAAGTTAAAATCATTGGAGTGCATCGGCCGACTGATACATTGGTGGCTCTATACATGCAGCTCTAGTTAATAACACAGAGCTGTGGGGCTCTTTAGTTATATCTTAACTAAACCAGCCCCAATGACTAGCTAACCATTGTATCTGGTTGTATTTTCACAATTCACATTTTTGCTTTTTGTAGCTTTTAAAATTTCCTTCATTTATTGTGATATCATCATCATTCATTCCTTTGGCTGTGTTTACAATATGGTAAAAATCTTTGGAGACAGGTCAATTTTCAGTAATGAATAATTCAATAATCA